GAAGAACAACTATAAACAACAATCGAAATCTTCTCCACGCAACATTTTAAATAATCGTTGCCGTCTTCGCCTCACCCTCAACAAACACCAAAGTACAGCAATAATAATCGAGCACAACTTTCTGAATGTGACGGGCGCCGCCATTTTGATTTGCTTGATTCTCTCCTTCTTCGTCTTCTTCTTCTTGTGTTTTATGGCGGTTGGCAAACAACTTTTGATGCATTACCGCCACCATCTGCTTGATTTCCTCCTTCAATACTGGCAGTAATACAGCAGATCATCACTAGGAGGCGAAGAGTTGAGGAACCGAGATAGCGTGATGTGTAAACGGTCGTCAGAACCGAGCTCGGATCGGTCTTAGCATGGATCGGTTTTTCAAGGGTAGTGTAAATGGGGTAATATTGTTAAATTAATAATAAACGGTTTGGGTTTTAACTTTTGCAAATCAAAGTCATGCCCACAACTATCAGATCAGTTGGAAGTTTCTTGACTTCGGTGGTGAGGAACTACAGTACCCATTAGGGCAGGCATATACTCTATGATACTTATATCTTATTTATATCAGATCTATCATATTCAGCTACAACGCAAACCACAGGGTTCACTAGTTCACGACATCTGTTTTTACAATGAACGGCCGATGCTCTGATGCGATCTACCTGCTCACACTCTACGACCAAAAACCACCAAATCGACTGAGCCCAGTAGAGAGATGCTGATCGGACTCGTCTATCCGGAAGTAAAGTCAGAGAAGAAGAAGAAATCCCTTCTTTAAACATGCTAAATACGCAAGCTGGAGGTAAATGGGCTCATTCTGCTCATTACTACAGGAAGCATGATAAAGCTGAAACTGGGCCCGATCCAAACAATTCTCGCACAACAGGAAAATTGGCCGAAATAGGGACAAAAACTGCAGGATTGTAGTTTTTGATCCAAAGGAAACTACTGTAGAAAGGAAAACACTACAGTTACTATTAAATAAACTTAACACTAATTCATCAGTGGTCTTTTTTTGTCACATAGATCCATTTAGTCCTTGCTTTTGAACTTGACCCAATGTTCTTACCTTTACTCCTAGTTCTGTTTAAATATATACATTTTTTAAAATGAAATGATGATAATAATGATCACAAAATGTGATTCAAGGAATTCAAATAATTATTATTTGAGGATGAAAGCCTTAAAAAACAAAACGTGATTTGAATCACTCTTTATTTTAATCAGTGAATATTTTTGTCTTTGTGAAACATACCTGAGGAAGTTTAAGTAATGCCCAGAAAACCTCAGAAAAAATGCGGAAAACAAGCTGTTGATGACCTTTTATTTATGTATATCTTAGGGGTGTAAATAATAATCGTTTTG